TAGGAGAGGGGCTCCCAGAAATGTTTTCGTGGTTTTGCAGATTTTAAACTTCATAACTGTAATCAGGGCCATGGAAAGGCCCCAGAATGAAAAAAGCATGGAAGGTAAAATTTCGGATGGACCTGCCCTTTGAGAGATGTTTTGACCAAAATCTATGTTTAAGGACAATCATAGATTTGAGTGCAAGTTTCGTGTCATCAATTGCCGCATTATTACTAATTCCTTCCGTACCTTCATACATCAAAGTTAATTAGTCGAACATGCATGTATCATATTCTATCCAATTACTTTGGCATTTGTTGTTGTTTAAATTCATTTGGTAGAAGCAGATATTATTTATTCTTAGTTCATCTTATTGTTAGTTTTTTCGTTAATTAGTCACAATCTCATATGCGTCCTGCTTGTAGAATTTTGTCAAAAATTGATGCTTATATGTTCTACGCGTAATGACACTTTGTGAATAAAGGAAGTCGAACGTTGTAGATGAAAGAGTAAAGCAAGAGCTAGCAGAGCTTATGCAACTTAACTCCTCAATGCTCGCGGCTTGTGAAGATTTTATAATGTGGAAAAAGCCATGAATGAGCGTATACAAAAACGAAAGAAAAACCGGCTTGTTCTTTGCTAAATACCCTAATTTTTTGGAGTTCTATGTACTTCTTGGTCATTAAGTATTTTACAAAATTTTCCTTATTTGCTGACAGCCACTGAATGTGCTTCTCATCTTATATATAAAGCTGAATGTCTGTTTGTCTGTATGTATGTATGTCTGTACGTATGTTCCGAATAGAAAATTCCATTTCTGAACCGATCGGGACCAAACTTAGCACACATACACTTCGGGCCCCGGCGGGTGTCATAGGCTACTTTTCGTCATCGATCGATATCGATTTTATCGCTTTTTTTGCAAAATTTGAGCTACGGGGCTTGGAGTTGGCACAGGGGGGTCGAGCATGCTGATCACCCCCGTGAGGGCGGAGCCGGGTAAGCCAGCTAGTTTCTTATAGGGAAGCAGCACCATATTAAAGAAAGGCAGGTTTGAAGGACATCGTAAAATTCTTGAAATTTTGGTTCTTCCACAGTAGCGTTTTTGTAAGGCATGTTATTTATTTGATAGCCAAAAGCTATCTGAATTTACATAGTAGAACTTACTCATGATTCCGAAAAAAATTATAATATTTTATTGAAATTTGAATTAAGGACAACTTGTGCGAGTCTAACACAAATATTAGGTCGTTCCGAAAGTAATGTCGCTTTCTTCGAATGAACGCCACTACTCGTGGAATCAAGATTTTCAGAGGGTCTTAGAAGCATTTAATGCAACATTTCATCCTCTTTCTAATGGTTCTAATTGCATTGCATAATGTTCAATGAGCTCTCGAAAAATTACCAAAATCTGCGACCCATGCCTTTTGCCATGGTCAAGTTCGGCTATTTTTCTAAATTTTTGTACCTGTTTCCAAAAGAAGAGCAAGTGACAGGTAGATAGAACAAACTCTAAAGGACATAGAGTAATTTTTTCTTTCCCTTAGCTTGCTTCTTATAGTTTCTGGAGTCAATTTTTCAGTGGCATCAAATTCCATATTTGGTCAACTCAAACCTCGCAGAACAACAACCGGCAATCAACTGTATGTCATCTGAAGCAGCTTTTTCTCCTCTTTTTACCAATTGTTTCTTGTAAGTTGCTAATCTGAAGCGGTAAACGCCCATTTGCTCAGTAAGATTAGCGTCAAACCATAATCCATCTTTGTAAGTTTCAAAATCCGAAGATTTATTGGTGTTTGATGCATTTGAGTCTGGAACGAGCCTGCTAAAATTTGGTGGTTTAATCAAAAAATCTGTACAAAAATTATGACGGGCTCTGAAAAGTAGCAAAAAGTTGTGCTGTTTCCTGTGGTTTGTTCTATCCATCCATTACTTGGATTCCTTCCGGGGCTTGTTATAAAAATTTAGAAAAATTGTGAAATTTGGCCTTCTCAAAAAGCATGGGTCGCAGATTTTGAAAATTTTTCGAGAGGTCATTGAATTTTGTGCAGTGTTTATTTAATCTTTAGAAAGAGAATGAAATGCTGCATGCTACCAAGATCCCCCAGAAACCTTGCTTCCACGAAATGTGGGGTTCATTTGAAAAAAAAACGACATTACATTCGGAACGACCTAATATAAAAGCTAGAACAATCTGAGTCGTCAATATCCTATGATAAAAATCCAGCAACACAGATCTTCCTGAGCATTAATTAAAAATGTGCATAAATTATTAGGTTGTAAAGAAAGTTTCGGGCACTTTTAGAAATCTCATTTTCAAACGCATTTTTCGGCGCTCGTTCGGACTTTGACACCAAATTTATACTGTTCAGTAGAGGGAAGCCTAAAGTTTCCAATCGTTTAACCCATTGACGACGATGTGGACCACCGGTGGCCTACGCGCTTTTTGCTGCCAGGGACGATGTGGACCCCCGGTGGCCCACACCTCTCGCAAAGTCGTATTATCTGCAGGTCTAGTATTAGGTTGTGACATAAGTCTTGTTACATTTAACTTCTAACGGCGATAAGTCATACACCTCATAGTCTTTGCAGGACTTCAGGGTACCAACCGATAGAGCAAAGCAAGCTCTACAAAATGGTCTGCAAAATTTCGCACCAGCTCCGACCCACCGTAAGTTTGCAGCCAAAATGTGAGTCGTACTGAAATTCAAAAAATCGCGAAAAATTCATATCTTTGTTTAAACAAATCCTACGGATCTCCAACTTGCTCATAAAAATTGCCCACTATATCAAACACTCATATGTACCGTTGCTGTACTTTTTCCTTATCTAGAAATCGAGAAAAAGAATTTTTTTAGTTTTTACAAAAACGAAGCTATGCTGTTTCTTTTTATGCAGTTGTATACTACAATCCCTTAGAAGTATAACCGTAAATTTTCAGCTTCCCAGAAGCCCTAGTTTTCGAGAAATACCTAATTTAGCATTGAACACCCGAGTGATAAAAGCCAAATTTGGCATTTCTCGAAAACTAGGGCTTCTGGGAAGCTGAAAATTTACGGTTATACTTCTAAGGGATTGTAGTATACAACTACATAAAAAGAAACAGCATAGCTTCGTTTTTGTAAAAACTAAAAAAAATTCTTTTTCTCGATTTCTAGATAAGGAAAAAGTACAGCAACGGTACATATGAGTGTTTGATATAGTGGGCAATTTTTATGAGCAAGTTGGAGATCCGTAGGATTTGTTTAAACAAAGATATGAATTTTTCGCGATTTTTTGAATTTCAGTACGACTCACATTTTGGCTGCAAACTTACGGTGGGTCGGAGCTGGTGCGAAATTTTGCAGACCATTTTGTAGAGCTTGCTTTGCTCTATCGGTTGGTACCCTGAAGTCCTGCAAAGACTATGAGGTGTATGACTTATCGCCGTTAGAAGTTAAGTGTAACAAGACTTATGTCACAACCTAATATTTCTTCCACATACGAGTATGTTTTCCAATTTTTTGTATTCTTAGGACCTATAGGCTCTGTCGTTCAAGAAAATGTTAATACTTGTTTACAAAACAATGTTGCATTTCGTAAATAAGCACGAAACCTTCCCACACTGAAAGTGTTGTGCAGAATCGCGTCGTCCCACAGCGCCGCCGCGCAAAATTAGGCGTCGTCGTCAATGGGTTAATGCAATAATTCAATACAGCCTATAGTTTCTAATATAATATGGATTTTATCGATGCCAAGACATGTTCGATGTGCACATCAAAAAGATAAATCTTTCCAACCACAAAAATTTCACAATTTTTCTTCCTACGGCCATTTTCTTGTGCAATTCAAAGAATTTCGTCCAGATCATGAGTGATCTGATTGAGAACCCTTTTACCTTCTGACCCGCAGCTGCACACGAGTTTTGCGATTTGCGCTCAAATTACAAGCTGTCTAACTTTTTTTCGCAGCTGGCGTCGCTTCTGCGGAGATCGCCACGCCTGGATGATGGGTCCAAAAGATGTGTAAGGCGTTACCCCAACAATGTTCGCAGTAACCAAAGATTTGGTTTGCCCTGTGAGAACGAGAAGACTTCAAAGTTATTTACTCAAAAAATGGTGCATTTTTGGGGGCAAAAAATGGTCGGTTTCTCAAACTTTCTGGGGAAAATACTTGTGCAGGTGGTCCTTCAAAAACATGAACGGTCCCCATAACAGCCCCAGCAGAACTCTATATAACTGCAGCATCCGGACTCTCCAGCTCTCCTCCTGCTAATCCTGCACAAATAGGCCACTTTTTGCGCGACCTTTTTCTCTTCTGCGCACGCTGATAGACCGCATTGAGGTGCTGAGAAGCCAGCAAGAGAAGTATATGTTGTGGACAAAATTGTCTTTGCAATGAAGTTCGTAGCTTCAAAAAAGAATCAATCTGCTTGAAGTTACAGCGATTTGAAAAAAAGTTTTGTAAGTGCCCGGGAACTTTCTCTACAATCTAATATTCCCTCTGTACTTTATCTTGATACTCATCCAATTTCCAAGTCACCAACCTATCTGGGACAAGATATTGTAAAAGGATCAGTCTCTGGTAAGAAGTCAAACGTTTACTCTTCTCTGAACCTGGGCATCCAGAATTGATGTTGATAGTTGTTATATGATAATATGCCACTGCCAGGTTTGTACGGTGGAATTCCTTATTGGCCTTACGTTTCGACAAAATCGTCTTCGTTGGAGACCCGATAGGCCTTCAATTTCTGCCTTAATTCAAGCTTGATGTGACTGGTGCGAGTTTCGGAGGACAAAACCATGCTTAAGTGCTGCTGCCTGGGCTCAGCAACCGGCCTGCAAGTTCTTCGGAACGGGTTTGTTAGGGTTTTCGCGGATTCTCGACTTCTATTCGGAATCACGGACATGTGAAGGTCCGGAACCACCAAAACATGGAAGTAGAAAATCTGGGTGGACGGTGCCTTTAAGGGTTAATGGGGGCTTGGCAAAAAATAGACTTTTCCTGTGAGATGCCCAGAGAGAAATGCAACGTCGGATGTTGCACAAAATTTTATGGAAACTCAGATTTTTGCATGGTCACAGAAGGTAGTAATGTTCAGAATTTGAGCTTGTAGGCCTCCCTTGCTAGTTTCCTTTCCATTCGACGACGCAAGCTTGTGAAGTACCAAATTCTCTGAAATCATGTTATGTTCTCAGGTGTTCATCTCAATATAACTAAAAGCTGACTAACTCTCGGATGCTTTTTGTCAAAATCATGCAATGCTTTATAGTATTCTTTCAAGGTCATATTCTTGTTGCTTCCTATAGCACTGTACTCTTTGTAGTCATTCACTAGTCCTCGCAAAGCCTTCAGTGCCATATTATCAATTTTCTTCTTAAACTGCTCTCTTGATTTAATGGACTTCTTCAATTCGTCCTGAAAACTGATTTTTGATCAAAACAATAAGAATAGACATGTTTATGTTTTGCTAGACATCTATCTACACAGACTTTCTAGCTAACAACTAACCATTCTTTCCGTCTCCCAATCCAACAGCTTTTGTTTCAACTCCGCTAAGGTCATATTCTCGTATTTCTTGATGCCATCTTTCTCTTCTGGATGGTAGTGATGCCAGAGTAGGAATGAGTATATATGAGTCAAACCGCTTGAGGCACAAAGGAGCACGATAAGTGCAGTTTGAAGTGCGGACATTCCTGATAAAATGTGCCGAAGTTATAATCTGTACCAATCGAGATGGGGTCAAAGCGTTACCCGAAATCGCGCCAACGCTAAGGCCTAAGGATATTCCACGCGGTTACGTCAAATCACCGATCCACGCGACTTGGCGATTTGCCAGATGTTCACAGATTAACTGTGCGCGGGTCTCAAGCATAGTCGCGTAACTTTTGTAAGTCGTAGCGAACCATCAAGTCTTGCCCCAGCAAAGCGCTTTTTACGAGCAGTGATAAAGAGTCGTTGCGTTTTGAATCGCATAGCGACTAAAATCCTGAGGCATGCCTTGGACCTAAGAGATTCGCGTAGGAGACCCCTTCTGGTCGGCTATAGCAGTTTGTTTAGTGCGAGCCTCTGACTGAACAGTGCTGCAGCAGCGATTAATTAGACAACAGAACCTGACTGTTATTAGAGACTCAAGCATGCTTAATTGAACAAGTTGCGCAAACTCCTCATAAAGGGAAGAAGAAGGGTGTATGCCCTTCTGAACCGCTTCGTCCTAGCGATAATTACTCTGCCCGGGCGGCGTTAATAAGTCCGCCTTTCTTATAATAATATATCAGAGTTTTCAAATACTTCCGAGCATTCTAAAGCAAGCGAGGCACTCGTATAAAGATAGTGACGATGTTTGAATTGAGAAGACAAAAAGTTGAAAAAGTTGCATGTTTTTTTACTGGCCTTTCGTGATTTCTTCGCCCTTCCCACTTTTCAAAACACCATTAAGTCTGCACGTGTAAGCTGAAGAAATCACCTAAGCTGCCCACATATAATATAACATTTTTGAGTTTTATGGGAAACTCGAAATCTTGTTTAATTCTTTTTATCATGAGATTGCCTTTGCAGTCCAATTCAGACGTCTCTAACGACAGCATAGCTCTCGCCTACCCAAGCGCCGCGGCAGCGCTGACCAATCAGAGGCGCGCAGTAATTAGGCTGCTAATGCTAGCGGTTCAGAAGGGCCGTTTCCCGAAGAAGAAATCTCCAAATCTACACGAAAATGTGAAAGATTCTTGAATTGGTAAAGCCAAGTGCACGAAATCGCCTGGAAGCCTGTAAAGAAACGTGCGCGCGAGTGGCTGACGCGCGACTGCTGAGCGTTGCCGCTGGTGACTCAAGCACGCATGCTGCTAAGCGTAGCCCGTAGGCTATCTCATCAACAGCACACTCAGCACGCTCGCCTGCGCTTCGTTTACAGTGTTTCGAGCGGTTTTGTGCTATCGACTTTGTCTTCACAACTCGAAGTCAACCTTCTAGTGAAAAAGTGCACACGCGTGCTTTGTAGTGCTCGGAACAATATAACACTTGCTAATGGCTGCAATGTTAACAGTCCGTGTACCTTGCTCAGCTGTAGATGTTCGATTACGCTTTGCTCTCAGAGAATAAACAAAGGTCAAAAATTATTAAATTTTATGTCTAAAGATGAGAGCATACGTAAATCGCCATGAGAGACTATATTGACTGTGGAGATCAAATTTCTGTAGTTCATGACTTGTCGTTCCAAACGACTTTAAACTCGTACAAGCGACAAGTGTCAAACAGAAAATTCAATTCTAAGAAAAGTTCTAAGTTGAAATGACAATAATTCGTAAAAGATGCGAGCAAAAGTCAAATTCAGCCTTACCAAGTGTCATTCGTAAATCAGCATTTCAAGGAAGTGGAATTTGGAGCAAAAGTCAGTTTTTATGTCTTGCGGCATATGGCACAATGACAAGCAAAAAGTAATTTCTTTGATTACTTACCAATGATAATTTGATAGTGTTGATTTCTGGAAGTTCTAGCTTTCTGCGCGAACTTCATGTGATAAAGTTCACTAAAACAAATTCAAACACCTGTCCTTGCAGTTCAAGGAACAACAATAACTTCAGACAGCTAAGATAAGCCTTAGCGCATAAGATTTTCGATAGTATCACAAACAACTCGTCCAATTTGATAAGGAGGCGAGCGCCCGCTGGCTTTTGGACAGACTGATTAGCTTCAAGACGGAGCGGTGCAGAAATACACTTGGTGTGCTTTAGATTGAGACAAACAGCAGCTGAGAATGAGCGCATGTGTGAGTCCTAGGAATTGACTATTCTGCATCCAATTCTCACACCTTATAAGCCATTGCTCACGTTAAATGTGTGAATGATACAGTTATAGCGATTTGATGGGTACTCCGCTTGCAACGTTTCTCTCATTCTTCGATTTCGACAGTCCCACTAAAATATTCAAATAAGAGCTATGCATGCAACGCTATAGAGCTACTGCGGGCTCGGTATGTGTTGTCCAGGGCTTTGGCTATATCCTCTCAGACAGTTCGCAAAATATTTCCGGAGGGCAGTGAAAATCTGGCACATTTTCGGAGGGCGCTCTTAGCCGTTGCAGGAGCGGGGCGAGGGGCGATCCACTCGCGGTGACGTCACCAAAAGCCGAGAAGCATACCTCCGGAGACTTCGCAAATTTGTGCTCCGGAGGTGAGTGTGCCCCAGATTTGCGAGACCAGAGAGCTCTGGGCGCGCAGCACCTCCGGAACGCTGAGGTACGCAGTCAATCTGCCCAGGACCACTTGGTCTCCTTGCTGATATTGATTGGTCATGGCAATCACTCTTTCCTACAGCACTCGTTGGTTATGCCTTTTTATACCCATCCTTTGTATTCCGTTGAGTCTTTACTCAGCTCTAGTATTTTAGTATTAGTATTTACAGTATTTCAGTATTTACATAGTATTTTTTCCAGTTCTTCCGCGTCTTCCACTTCGTCTTCGTCGCTCTTCGCAAGCATCAACATCGACATCGACTCATCTCTTCTCCAGGAAAGTAAAATATTAGGTGATTATAGTGATGTTCTTACACGTAGCACATATCACTTGTGAAGTGTTTTTTAGCACTCTGCATCTCATTGTGTGCGGTTGCACTCTTCTACCTTTTGACAAGCACCGTCCTTTGGACCGTATCAAAGTGAGTGCCCCTTTGGTTTGTACATCTGTGAGTTCAACCGGTTTATGGGCTCATCCCTACTACTTCACCAGCGAGACCAATAGTGGAGGGGGTGAACCGGATAAAAATTAAATCTGATATCGGCCTGAGGTACCAAAGTGATTTTGTTCTGGGGTCACAGCTAAAAATGTGAAAAGTTAGGGGCAGCAGGCGTTCTTGCCTTAGAGCAATTTCATGGTGAGTAATTCGAGATGTAGAGTGGTATAGCCACGATCTCGTTTTGTCATTGCTTGTGTAAGTCAGATAAGAACGAGGATTCTACTTGAAAACGAATATAATTCATCTCATATGCATCTCCTACGGTAGCGCTATTTTCTGTGTTACAGTGTCGTGGGTGTATATGGCACATGTGGAAATCGCGAATTTGGAATCCAGAACTCTCCTTTGACGAGTTCAAGAGTGTTGATTTTGGATATCATACTCTTTTTAGGTTTCGAAATCTTTTTACGGTTTTCTGGTCTCCTCCTTTTTTGTGTCCACTTAGCGTTTTTCGAACGCTAATAATCATACATAGGGGACAGAGGATTGATATCGCTATCATACTGTACTCATTCCACCCAGGGCCACCTGCTCACACGCTATTAGCGGTACCGTCTCCTTGCCGATAATGGTCGCGTCATGCCGACGTAGAATTGGGGAAATGAGTCCGGTAAGTCTCGTTTTATACTCACGTTGTGATCAATTTTCCAGTGTCAAAATGTTTCAGATAAAGAGGAACATCAAACGAGAGATGGACGAATCAAAATCAACGTTGGTGGCACCGATTTTCGAGACCACGGTATTCTCAACATTGGATAACACTGTGAGGTTTAAATTTCAACGCTAGCATGTGTCACCAGAAGATAGGTTGAAATCAAAGGTGCTCTCCTCAGCGTTCCGCTACCGTAACCACGAAGACCACAAAGAGCTGTTTGTGGACCCGGCTTACTTCGAAAAGTTCTATTCGGCTTTTATCCTTACAGTACTACAGCTGAAGAGAGGTTACAGACCAAATTAAGGTTACTTTGTATTCAACACCTCTTCCTTTCTGGAAACCAGCTTGAGCCAGAATTAATGCGAAAAGCGCAGACAGATGAATGGAAGGTTAGGTTACACTCTATGGAAGAATGCAAAAGGGTTGATAGAAACTTTTTGGAAAAACTTCTAGGAACTAATTTAACACTTGGTTTGTCTTGTGCAAGTGCAGTTGGAATGGTTGGTGTCAGGAGCTAAGTAAAAGTTTAGCACTGGTGGGTTCTGAAGTAGGAGCAGAGACATAACGCGATGGAGACATCAGTACAAATTCCCTTTCGCCTCTCAGAATCTCATTTTCAGAAAAATCAAGAATCCTGAGCGAAAACATACAGGTAACTCCTTCTCATGAGGAGTCTTTCAATGTGGATGCAAGCTCGGAGTAATGGTGGAGAAACTGTCTTTCCTCAAAATCTGCGGCTGCCGCAGGTTTTGAGGGGGGTGCCGCAGGCCATTAACTATGTCATAAAAACATTTTTAGCAAACCTTATTTATATGGATCGATAGCCTAGATCTCCTAGTTTTCACAGGAGTGATGTGAGCCTGATTCGTCTTCTTAGCTCTGAGTAATATTTGGTGAAAGCACAGCGATCAAATTCGAAAAATGGGAAAAACGAGATTTTGGTTGGCTTCTAATTCCACAGTTTGCAGGTCTTCTGAAGCGGGATTCCTGAAGTGGACAAAGAAGGAGTAGTGCTTTGTCTTGATTGCAAAAACGGATGGCTAATTCACCTTTGAAACAAAGTTATCCATGTTGGAATTTGACCATTTCACTGAAGTAGCCTAGTATCTTGAATCTTCAGAATCCGCTCAAACATCGTCTACAGGGGTTAATTGACATGCTAATTATGGATATGCTGCCATTATGTTTGAGCCTTCAAGTAATGCTATCTTAAGTGTATAGTTCAGGGAGGGGGGGGGGTCTTATAAGACGGCAATCAGAGGGGGGGGGGTCGTAACCAGCGATCGTGTGCCACACCCCTTGCTTGACCCTGTTCATGACTCATTCGTCTATTGCCATCAGCCGTTCGCCTTCGGCCTGGTTAGTTAATGATTAAACTACACAGTTTGATGAGATTGCTTGTCCATTTTTTTTTGCAAAATGCCTCCATTTTCCGTTGTTTTATAAATTCTAATTTTTGGCAATGAATTCTATTCAGAAGGATAGAACTTTTCTCATGTGGCAAGCATGTGAAAATTAAAGTTGTTGGAACAATTTTCGAGACTTGTTTTTCTACATTGACAAGAATAAATGTTAATGTGAGCCATTTTGCTTTTTTTGCCTGTTACTACCGTCATCATGCCAGTGTCTGAAGGTGCTCTCCGCTATGGTAGCCGAATGTCGGCGAAATGAAGAAGAATTGAGTGAAAACCTGTTTGAGAGACATTATTTACATTTTACATCGTAGATAGGAATCCGAATCTATTCGCAAAAATCAGAAAACTGTGACTTCGGTACATATCAAGCTGATCCCTGATTTTCAGGTCCTGGTTTCCCTGAAAAACAAGAAAAATTTTGTTCCTCCTTCTGACGATGGTGTCAAAGAAGCTCTTGGAAGAGAAGCCGAAGTGCTGCTTTGTTTGAAGTGAAAAACCTGTTTGAGAGACATTATTTAGTTCTACATCGTAAATAGGAATCCGAAGAGCGCTATCGAATTGTACTGAGGTTTTTGCTAAGTATGATAACATTTGATCACTAGTACAAATAAATGTTGTGTCTAGTAGTGTTCGCTTTTTTTGATAAAAGGTAGTTTAGAGTGGGGATTGAGTGTCTAGAGGTAGTTTAGGTGGGGTCAAGGGGCTGAAACAGAGTTTTCTTGCTTAATTGGGGGTAGTTACAGTATGTCTAGTTCAATTTAAGGCTAGCTATAGTATGCCAGCGCGAAAATGCAGGGTTTCCAGAGCAAAGTAGGCTTTCGGGAGACTTCCGGAGCACAAATATGGGAAGGATTCGGAGAATGAGTGGCCAACCACCGCTGGGGAGACCCCGGCGGTTCTCCATTTTGTCCTCCTGAAGTATGCCGTCGATCATCTGAGCTCTATTGAAGCGACGATCCTCCCGGCGAGTGCGCTGCGTTTTCTCGGCTTGGCTTCTCGAACTGATCCGAGCGCAGTCCTTATCACACTGTCAAAACTTATTCGAGCCACTCAGACACTCGCACCGGCCGGCGGTCGCACAAAGACCGGATGGTGGGACCACTGTCAATTTCACTTAGCCGCGTAATCTACGCCCGCCGGCCGGTATGTGTCAGCCGCGCAACAAAATGGTTGTGGGGCGCGATTCTTCTTCGTTTTGCAGCCTTCGCTTTGCCCCCCCCCCCCCCTCCCAATTACAAAACGTAGTACAAGACCGCAAAAACATATCCATTTGTTGTATAAGCATACATAGTGAGGAAATATTTACAAAGAAGACTGGTACGTAAAGCCTAATACAATATGCCTCTAATAAAGCTATGAAATTACAAGTTTCCTCTTTCTTGAACCTCGGCATTGTTAGTATGATGTGTTAGTGAGTAAGCGGTGGAGGAGGCCTTCGAAAACGACGATTTAATCGAAACGTTCGGCCGCCATTAACAATAAAGATCTACTAACCTCGACTGGCTTACTCACTTACTAACACATCAAAGCTATGAAATTTGGACGTTTCTTATCCACGAGAAGATGACGTTTCTTTGCACATGTGAACATCCATTCGACGCAAAAGGTACACATCGGACCGCTACTCATTTTGATTTGACTAGTTGCTGCACTCTGTATTCTTTAGGGTGACGCTCATCTCACAACGGACATCTGCAAACGAGATAAGCTTTTCACAAATGAGATCATTAATACCAAGACCTATCTGCTCAGAAACTGCTATTTATCAGTGAGCGGAGTAACCCAAAGGCCTATTCCAGGAGGCGTTTAGTGGATGTTTCCCTAAACCACTCACCAAAATTAGTTTCTGGCAAATGATCGGTGTAAACCCACTTACTAACTGCTGGAGTGTACGCAATGATAGGCATAGGAATACCGCGAATTCGTAGAACATGAGATATATTCAGCATCCGTAGATCAGCAGAGTTCTAAAATAATCAGCAGAGGAAAGGTAGTCCGTGAACGCATTCTGCGAAGAATAAGATAGTTGAAAGGTCATAGTCGTTAGCATAAGTGAGATGTTGGTATCGATGACCATGATCAGGTTCCATGAGTAGAATAACATTTCAGACACATGCAGCATAACGCAACTGTCTCTGAAACACGTCATTTTGGTTTTTTGTTCACTTATCAAAAATAAACGCGAACCTAGATTCTATACTTCGCGAGCAGCACGTTTCAGCCTGGTATCCCCTGTTTTTGACCATTTAAGACGAGCACGATACAATTTGCAAAAAGGGACTACAAACGTCTTAATTTTCCTTCGACGAAAAAGAATACAGTGAAATGGGATAACGTTAACTCATAATGCGGCGAAGTTCTGAGCGTCTTCCAGTACTACAGCACCCATAATCTCCAGATAAACATACATAAATATTTTGCGGGTTCAAGTCAGCTAGCTTTGACCGGGGGGCTCGCTGCCGCCCAAAAAGCGGGGTCTTAATAGAAGGAGCAAGATTCTGCAGAATTGGGTAAAGCGTTCTTTCCTTCCGCTTGCTGATCTATATAATCATATGTCTACGTCATTATGGTAAGGGCTTCAGTACTTGTGTTTCATCTGCAAAACTCACCTTTGTTCTGTGACTGAGGAATGGCTGGTCTTTTGATTTTCTTTCGTGTTCATATTTTTGTTGTGCGATTTCGGTCTTTTAATGGTACACCATGAGTGTATATATAAATAAAATAAAATAAAAATAAACAGAAACATCAACGAAACAAAGAAGTCGCGACTGCATAAATAAAAAAAAGTAGAGCGAGCCTTTCCTATGAGGCTCGATCATGTAATGTTTGAATCCCAAGCAGTGGTATCAACGCAGAGTACTGACCCTAGATAGATACCGGCTGGCGACCGTTTGATCGGCCGCCGGCTGGTATGATTTTTTGGAGCGGTCACCGGCCGGCATTTAGCTTCGCCCAGATTTATGGAACGGCCGCCGGCCGGAAGGCCGTCGTCGGACGGTCGTCGGCCGGTGCGAGTGTCTGAGCAAGCTGAGCCGATTATACAGCAGGCCTAGAAGATGTGCAGGCGCCTTTTTTCGTGGTCCCATCCGAAACAACTACCATTTAGCAAAACCAGTAAAACAAACAACCAATTAGACACATTCAAGTCTTCCAAAAAGGACTTGATAAGCATATTAGAACAACAACAGAATTGCCACAGAAGCCCGGCGACTTTAAGTTTGAAGGACTTTCCTGATATTATAATACTTTTTCTCCAGAAAATCTATAAAAATATATTTGCACGTTTTGTTCTGGAAGCTGTGAATGTCTACGCGCAAGGTGGCCCACTTTAGGTGTGACGAGCTCTTAAAGAATCCAGTTTTCAAGCTTTTCTCTCAATTTTTTGTTTTGCAATTCGTTTCCATGTTACTAGTATCGTAGTCACACTTCCAGGTAAGGGAACTATAATAAGAAAGTTTCTTGCAAATTCTGAGTGTTTATTCTCGTCAGCTAAGATCTATAGGAAATCCAGTGATACTTCTTGGATCAAGCCCTGCAAATCCTATTGTACCAACACTTTCAAATCAAGCAAATGCGGAGATGTCATGCTGGAAGTGACCGCGCATTCTGAAGATCGCGGAAAAAACTAGATGCTTGCATTAGAAAGCGTAGCGCGCATTTATGAATGTGATTAAAGGATTTTTATCAAAATGTTTGACTATCAGATAGCAATCATTTGCAATTGGATTGTTTATTGCAGATGCGAAAGTTTGATTGCGTCACATTCCATACAGACCGCCCTGTTTACAACTAGCTGAGCAATTAATACTTTTCATCTTCAGAGTAAAAGTAGTTTCTGGATTTCATCAAACTCACAATACATATCTCATGGAGTCTGCATTATTCTAGCTTGTAGCGCGCCCTTCGAGAAAATCACACCTATATCTACATCGCAGTTACGCAGAATATATCTTTCACCACTCAAAGTAAATTTGAATAGGAGAAAAGTCTGTAATCTATACTCAAGAAGGGAGAAATGGGTGGCTAAAATTGCTGATCATCACCTTATAAAGCTATCAAATCAGCGAAAACAACATTTTTTCGAAACAAAGAAACTCGCCCTGCGACACAAGAATAGCTCCTTCACATGTATAGATGCAACTGGCAAACCGAATGCTCCAGTATAACTAAAAATGAAATGCTACAAACACATAAAACAACCCAATCGCTTTTTGATTCGTTTATGATGGTAAGTGGTGCCAGATCAACTTTTTCGCTCAGTTATCTGGTGCTGGGGTTCCGCTGTGCATTTAAAACTCCGGCGGCTCCCCAGCGGCTTCCCACTTCAGGCGGAACTTCTGCCAATTTATCCAGCGGAGATCCTAAAAATCAATTTCGCCGGAACCCAGCACTTTGCGGCAAGTAATTAGATATAAACACTATTTATAGCCCCTGAGCCCCACTCAAAGCTCTAGGAAACTGAAACCTCTCAATTTTTTTTGAAAAAAGGAACACTACTAAACATAATACTATCTATTCATACTAATAAATTAAAAAACACAAGATATAGGGATAATACGATAGCAGGCCTTCAATGGACGAAGCAATCACACAAATAAGTGATAGATATAGTGATATAGTGATAATACTATATACAGTGACCGTCAAGAAGTTGCGGACAAGTCGCCCTCCTTTTTTCATCGTTCATTTTCGGATGAGAAACAAGAACGAAAAGATGAATGGATTGCATTCGGTAATAGAGCTCTTCAAATGCTACAACCCAGACGTTGCGCTTTCTGGAAAACTTGTATACTAAAGATTTAGATTCTAGAAATTTTGAGAATCTTTTTCTAGAAAAAGTCTGAAAATGGCCTCGTCACAATGTTGCGGACAATAATTCTTCGAACGCGAGAATATTCTTTAAGTTTTTTTGGAGCAAGAACAGAAGTTTTCCGAACAGGTAAGCATACTATATCATAGAGCTCATCGAGGACAATAATCAGGTGGTGGTTACTTCCAAAAAAACTCAAGCTCGAATTTTTATTTTGCTTTTTTTCAAGAGATGACTTCTAATTACCTTTTTCAAGCCAAATCTCTTCACATGGGGACCTATTCAAAACATCCTAACAAAGCTGTTTAAATAAAAAAGGATGCAGTCCTATATGCATCGGAAGTGTGCTGGTGAGTTTCTTTGCTGAAAATGGCTCTTAACAGTGCGTGCACGTGACCCTACCTGCACCTCATCACTGACTTGCACCGCTTTGCAAGCTTGTAGCTCAGCCATCTGGCATTCTGCGAGCCTGTTCTTAGGCTCATTCGAAAGTGCGTGACTTCCTCGACACGATGGTATGCGAAAGAAGTTCAGTTTGAGTAATCTCGGAAATTTTACGGATGGGTTAAAAAAGCGCACAGTGAAGGTGTTGGAGTAAAAGCTTCTATCAACACTAGAATTCTTAGAGCTTCGAAATGGGTCTGTTGCAAAATTGGCAGTTTTGAACTTCCAGAATGAAACT